ATGCCTCAAAGCGATTTGGTCGCCTTAAACAAAGTCATACGACAGGTGTCAGCATGGGTTCATCTGACATGGAACTATGAGGTGTTCTTCGGTGAGACCTGCTGTTAGCCATATCCAAAACCTTGGAAGGAATGCGCCGAAGGCAACATGAGGATTTGGCAAGGCCTCAAGCCAGATTGACTTTCTGGTTGGACCTCAGTGATCACTGAGGCCCGGCCGAAACTCTTGCCTAATCCAGCCCAGCGATTGGGAAAAAGAAAAGGCAAAATGCAACCCTGGCAAATGGAGCCAAGGACTAAAACCTGCGGCTCTTTTAGTGGCTAATTTTGACCCATACCCCCACCGAAACCTCACGGAGCCTCCCATCGCAGCCCAGGCACGCGAAGGCGCCGGTAAAGTTCAGCCAGGATTGGCTACGCCAGTCCTCGAAAACCGGGGAGAACGAGACTCATGGCTGTGAACAAAAACCGCAAGGGCCTAAACGATTAGATCGTGGTACTACGAAACCATTACCGCATGATCATAGAAGAGTAGATGTTTGCATTTACTTGGCCCCTCCTATAAGGGAGTCTGGACAAATTGAAGTTGCTTCATTGAACACATGACAGGGCTGATTACTTCACCAGGATCAAAGCTTGATCATCGTGAGCGTCAGTACCAGGCGAGTCCAATCATCCATTCCTAAAAGAAAGTTGTAGGGATATGAGTCAAATTCGCCTTGGCTGACTGCCAAAATCCCTGCTCCAGCTGCCTCCAGTCCGCCTGAAAGCCGGCCCCAGGGCCGGGAGGTCAGATCCCTTCGACTTCGACAAGGACCGATCACAGCCCACTTTAAAAACCGCAGAAACCAAATCCCCTTCTAGAAGGAAACCAGCCAACTTCCCATCTAGAAGCCGGTAAAATTCCTGAAAAGACCGGTCAAATCCGGCTAGAAACCGGTCAACTTCCTCCTCTCAAAGCTGGTACAACTCCGGTCAAATCCTGCCAGAAACCGGCCAAATTCCCCTTAAAACCGGTCAAATTCCGCTTCAGAAACCCCAGGCAAAATCGCGCAGACGTGCACCCACCCTCTAGCTTGGCTTCCAGCTCACGCGTTTCGGCGCCTCACTCACTTCAATAACAACACTTCAAGACAAACTAAAGCACAGTATGCACCTCAGCCAGCCAAAGGCGGATTGGCCAAGGCGGGCAACGCGAAGCGTTTAGAATAACCATCCTCCTGCGGTGATGTCCAACATCTTTAGCCCCCAGCTGTCTCTGGCCTTTCTTAGATTTTCACTCAGTTGGGTTGGACCGGGATTGGGCCCTTGTTTAACCATGTTTAAACATGCTCAAACCACCATTGTTTCATCAGTTGCCCTTCCAACCTAAAACTGGTTCTCTGCTTCCCCATGGGTTTCCCATGGGTGATAACATGTCTCCGTCCTGCTCTGCGTAGCAGTGGCCCACCTCATGCCAGTCCGCCCACGCCACTGGCCGCAGCAAGGCACAAGCCACACGGCCCCCCGAAATGTCGTGGATCACCACGGCCTTGGTTTCTCTCACTTCGCGCGGGTCGAGGTGTCCTTTGAGGACCCAGTGGATTTTCCCGGCGCAGAAGGATTGGTCAGTTGTTTAAACAGCTTGGTGGCTTCACCCCCTCAATGTTTCGGGCCTCAAGGAGCACGGCCAAACAACATTGGTCCATTCACTACACAGACAAAAACATGTTCTGACTCTGTGTCGTACTTAGCCTGCCCTTATTTTTTTTGTAAAAAAAAGCTTTGGAGCAGCCCCCAGAAAGTGGAGGCAGTCTTTGCCGTTGAATTAACCGGCGTCGTTTTGCGGCTTTGCGGAGGGTCGCGGTCGAAACCCTGCTCTTGTCTTCAACTTGATGACGACTGCCCCCGACGAGTGTAACCTATTTCTCAAAATGCCTAAAATGAGACCCCCCCCCCACAAATCTAAAACCACACCTTCTGTGATACCAACATGGACCTTTCCATGAGTTCTTCGCCGCTTTCCTCTTGGCATAGCAGAAGCCGAGTCTGAAATCACATTTTCCACAACCAAAAAAACCAACAAACAAGTTCACCCCACCACGACAAAAGCGGTTGCTCTCGCCTTGCCGCCCATGGAGCGAGTGGAGTAGCCAGTAGCAATGTTCCTCGCGCTGGTCAAACAGTGGCTGGGTCCAAGGCCCCAAACTGGCCCAAACTCTTACCCATGTGTGCCACGGCCGCAATGTGTTGTAATTTGCAAGTCCCCTTGTGTGTGGGCAATGGGAGTGTGCCGAAACCGACCACGCTGCTTTGCAATCTTCATATGAAGCCAAGACCAACCAATTAGTTCGGGCATCTTCTTGAAGGGTTGGCCAATCTGACTGTGCGAGATCTCCACCTTTGAAAAACATACACATACACTCACACGCACATATACACATACACACACACACACATGCATAATTTATGCATAATACATATACACCCACACACACATACACGCACGCACAAACACACAA